AGTTTGAGATGTCTCTGTGAGGGTTGAAATGGAATTCTTTTTAATTTAATTTTTTTATTTATTGATGAGAGAGAGAGAGAAAAAGACACATTAATTTGTTGTTCCACCCATTTTTGCATCCATTGGGTGGTTGATTATTGCATGTGCCCTGACCGGGGATCGAACCCACAACCTTAGCATATCAGGATGACACTAACCAACTGAGCTACCTGGCCAGGGCTATGATGGACTGTTTTTATGTGATGTGCTCACATATGTATATGAGGAACTAATTTATACATATATTTATACAAGGTATTTATAATGCCCTTAATAGGTTATCTACAATTGGATCACTGTAGAACCTTTTCATACCAAAATATGGATGTTGGAAACTCCTGTTTACACAATCAAGTTAGAGTTAGGATTTTTGAAACAGCATTCTTTCTTACCATACTTTCTGTTACATTCTTGTGGGAAATTAATTTGTAAACCTTCAAAGCGTTAAAGTGGTCCATGCTCGCTGTTGTATTTACTTGGCTCTGTGACGAGGCTGTGAGCGTGGGAGGCCCCCTTCTCAGCTTCCCAGCGACTCCCGACTCCCATGCCGGGCGCAGAAGCGCCGCTTCTGTTGGTGCTGGCGGGCCTGGCATTTGGGGCGTGGGAGAAGGTATGCATCAGTGTGTGTTGGGGTGGAGAGGTGGGTGGTTTGTGTGAATAGAAAATCATGACCTTTCCGAAAATTGTTCAGAAATATGGAGAGAGGAAGCAAGAGACTTGGGCATCTGGGGTGTTGTGACAGAATCAGCCATGGCGGCTTGGGGTGGAAAGTCCCCGGGGAGGCGGACAGGAGTGGGAGAACACGATCACAGCCCCCCGGCCACAGCCGTGTGAGTGATGTCGGGCCTCTGCTGAATTCAGGGAGGACCACATGCTCTCCCTCCCCTACATGGGTAGGACCTGTAATTCTCCGGCCAGTTGCTAGGGAATATTGGGGTGCTGGGGAGACTGCATTCTGCAGAAGGAGTGCTCATGAGTGTCTGAGAAGTTGCCCATATGTCATTGGACCTAAGATGTCGTTAATTGTGAGGACAACACATCATTATTTTACATACTACCTAGAAAGGAAACGCACTGCTAAATAACTAACACACCAACTTCGGAGAGTAATATTAAATGTTGGAACTATATGTATTTGACCCAGCCAGTGTGGCTCAGTGGTTGAGCGTCACCTTTGAACCACCAGGACACGGTTCGATTCCCAGTCAGGGCACATGCCTGGGTTGCGGGCTCAATCCCCAGTGTGGGGCCTGCTGGAGGCAACCGATCAATGATTCTCTCTTACCATTGATGTTTCTATCTCTCCCCGTCTCCCTTTCTCTCTGAAATCAATAAAAAATTATTTTTTTAAAAAAACTTTATATATATAAAAAAGAAAATATATGTATTGGCTAGAGCATGAGAGTTGCTACAAAGCCAAATGGTTACGGGGAGTAAGTGGGGTGCCTGAAATGCATGATGTGGTCACAGGGATGGATTTCTCAGGAAAGGGGCCCCGTGACCTTGGTCACTATTTTCCCAGAACCTAGGACACATACTGTTATGGGTTGGCTCAACGAGATAGACCACCGACTCAGAATTTAAATTTAAGAGCCTTTATTAAGCTGGCCAGCTGACCACAGCGCCTATCTCCCCCTCTGGGAGATTCGGAGCATGTGGCCGAGATCAGGGGTGCAGTATGATCCTTTATAGCAAAACCGTGTTAGAAAAAAAATACAAAGCACTCCATTAGCTGTTCCTTAGAAGTTCACAGAAAGTCCATAAGCACAAAGGGAGGTAAACAGAGTCACACCTGGCTGGAGCGTATCATAACACATTGTTTTTCTAAGACATTCTAGCAATTTTTCTTCTATGATTCCTAACCCTGACATAATCCTCCATACGTCAGTCCCCCCTCCCAGCACATTCTGTAACATTCTGTAACCCTTCCATGCCGCAGTCCCTCACCCTAGCACAATACACTGAGGTGGTTTGGTGTATGCCGGTGTACAACTCATTGTTGCATATTGAGGAGGTTATTTGCTTTTCAGTTCTCTCTCTCTCTCTCTCCCTTTTAAAAATATATTTTATTGATTTTTTACAGAGAGGGATAGAGAGTTAGAAACATTGATGAGAGAGAAACATCGATCAGCTGCGTCCTGCACACTCCCTACTGGGGATGTGCCCGCAACCAAGGTACATGCCCTTGACCGGAATCAAACTTGGGACCCTTGAGTCCACAGGCCGACGCTCTATCCACTGAGCCACACCGGTTAGGGCTTTTCAGTTCTCTTTAAACTCCCTGATGATATCAAGAGAGAGACTTGGCCCTGACCAGTTTGGCTCAGTGGATAGAGCGTCAGCCTGTGGACTGAAGGGTCCCAAGTTTGATTCCCGTCAAGGGCATGTACCTTGGTTGCGGGCGCATCCCCAGTAGGGGGTGTGCAGGAGGCGGCTGATAGATGTTTCTCTCTCATCGATGTTTCTAACTCTCTATCCCTCTCCCTTCCTCTCTGTAAGAAATCAATAAAATATATATTTTTTAAGAGAGAGACTTGATTTGCTTTTAGTATGTCCTTACACCTTTCTGCTTCTTGGTAATGTCTCTTTGTTAGCAGAGAGAACAGGGTTCCGGCTCAGAAGCTGCAGCAGGCAATAGGTTCAACTAGAGTTTAATAACCTTGTTTTGTTTTTATTATCTTCAAGATAGGGCAAGTCATACTGGTTTCCCACTTACAATACTGAAAAAGTTTGCATCGTAAATGAAGTCATTAGCGTAAAAGAAAATGTGGCAGTTTCAGGAAACAGTTTGAAGTGGATAATGTCTTGAAGATGGTTGAAGTTTGGGAAACACAGGCCTCTGGATTCAAGCAGGGCCTTTGTGGGTGGACAAGGCTTGGGAAGACAGAAAAGAGGAGAGAGGCCTTGCCTCGCCATGGATACTTCTTAATATGCTCATTGGGTAATTTTTTCTTTTTTTTAAAATATGTTTCTTATTGATTTTAGAGAGGAAGGGAGAGGGATAGAGCAATAGAAACATCGGTGAGAGGGAAACATCAATTGGCTGCCTTCTGCATGCCTCCACACCGGGATGGGGCCTGCAGCCCAGGCATGTGCCCTGACCTAGGTCAGTGGTTGCTAGAGGTCTGGGGAGGGCATGGCAGGCTGCAAAGGGGCTAGACCAGGGAGTGTTTGAGATTATGGGGCTGTTCTGTGTCTTATTGTAGTGGTAGTTACAGAAATCGCTACGCATGTTAAAATTCAGACCTGTACACCCAAAAAGTCCATCTTATTGTATGTTAGTTTAAAAATAAAAGCAAACTCCCACACTATAGAAGTAGCTCCAGGCTGAAAAGCACAGAATTGAAGAGCTAGAATAAATGCAGCATTAAAGCAATTAAAATGGAATAAAAAGGGTGAAAACCATAAAGTCACTTCCTGTCAATATGTAAATAGACAGAAGATGAAATTTACCACAAAAGCTAACCACAGGCTTTTTACACGTTTGATTGCAAAAGCCTATTGAAGTGGTTCTCACGTCCTTTTTTGAAGATTTACTGTTCACTTGTAAGAAGTTGTGCACAGTGCTTTGCTTATTTAAAATTTCAGTAAAGCTTCCATCCCACTTTAAAATATATATTTTTTTATTGATTTCAGAGAGGAAGGGAGAGAGAGAGCTAGAAACATCAGTGATGAGAGAGAATCACTGATTGGCTGCCTCCTGCACGCCCCACATTGGGGATAGAGCCCACAACCCAGGCATGTCCCCTGACCGAAATCTAACCGTGACCTCCTGCTTCTTAGGGCAATGCTCAACCACTGAGCCACACTGGCCGGGCTCAATCCCCCTTTTATTCTCCTTGCAGTTGAACGTGGATTCTCCCACTTAGTTTTGTAGCTCCGGTTCAGCACAGTGGTCCTGGGAATGCCCCTGGGGAGCAGGCACAGTTCTCAGGTGGGGGCCCACGCCGGGAGGCTTTCACTGAGGGAGTGGATCATGCTGGGGCCTTGCGTCAGAGTCATTTCTGGGGCTTAAAAAAATGCAGGTGCTCAGAGTGCACCCTAAGGAGATTTAAGAAATTCAAAATCTGTGTTTGGACTGGAGCTTGGATGTGTGTGTGTGTGTGTGTGTGTGTGTGTGTGTGTGTAAAGCACTAAGCAGCCTGGTTTGAGATCAGTGGGCTACAATGGGAGTCAGACACAGGCGTGCAGGAGCAAGGGAGACAGGTGTAGGAATACAAAAGGGGGCTGTCAATCAAGCCTGGGAGGGTCTTTCTGAAGGAAGACTTCCTGGAGGTGGTGATTCCTGTGTCAGAGTCCCAAAGGATGTGGAGAGTTGCTCGACAAGGACCAGGAGAGTGTTCCACGTGGAGGGGAAGAGTGGGTATGAGTGGACAGGGCACTGCAAGCATTTGGCACAGGTGGAGAAGGTCTGGCAGGGAGCAGATGGGAGAGGAGTGGGGACCAGGGAGTGGAGGCCCCAATGCCGGGAAAAGGGACTGGGACTAAGGCTAGCTTGTAGTTTCTCAGTCGCCTGGCAGGAGCTGCCTTATGCAGGTGCTCTGGGCCCACCAGGAGGGGACGTTCTGGGTTTGGGGCCTGGGGACCTGCAGTTTTAACCAGTGCCCAGGGCGTTGGAGTCAGAGCCGCCGCAGTGAGAGGAGAGGAGCCCCAAGTATTTTCTACCAAGAGTTTGCTTCATTGTGTGTCTCATTCATGTTTCGTCACAGCTCACACCTGCAACCACTGCTGAGCCTTGCCTTTGGGAACCTCCTCTTGTTCAGGGAGTGGGTTTGTGGACTAGCCACAAAAATGCCAGCCGTCCGCAGGTGTCTGTTCCTCCAGGGTCATTGATTTCCAGAAGGAAGTAGAGGCCTCTGGGGGGGGTTGGGCCTGAGGGGCTTTTGTTGGGGAAGAAAAAGGTGAGGTGGGGCCTGCCCTGGAGAAGGTAACACTTCATAACTTCCTGGTGTCCCTCCCAGGAGCAGCAGCCAAGCTGGACAGACGACCTGCCGCTCTGCCACCTCTCAGGGGTGGGCTCAGCCTCCAACCGAAGCTATTCTGCTGATGGCAAGGGCACCGAGAGCCACCCGCCGGAGGACAGCTGGCTCAAGTTCAGGTGAGAGTGCGGGTGCTCCCCTGGGCATTGCAGACAAGCAAAAGCAGCAGTTTTGCAACTGTCCTGCATGGGGCTTGCCAGCGAGCTGTGGCCCATGGGGGTGGCGTGTGCTGCTATCCCTTCCACATCTGGACCTTAGACCAGCCTAGGCTTGCGACAGTGGGTGGGGAACATCCCTGAAGGTCGTGGCCTGAGTGAAATGATGGGCAAAGTGGGGGACCTAAGTGGGCACCTGAAGCCACAGCTGCTGTATCTTTGGTCTCCCCCAATTTTTGTCCCTCCTCCCCTCACGCTGGAACTGGCGTCCTTCTGTGAGCCCTGGTTTCCACCGCCTCTTCCCTCTCTTCCAGGAGTGAGAACAACTGCTTCCTGTATGGGGTCTTCAACGGCTATGATGGCAACCGGGTGACCAACTTCGTGGCCCAGCGGCTGTCCGCGGAGCTCCTGCTGGGCCAGCTCAACTCCGAGCACACGGAGGCCGATGTGCGCCGTGTGCTGCTGCAGGTACTTGCTTGGCAGCTGACTGCAGCCGGTGGATCATCTCCCCCAGAGGCCTGACCCTGCAACTGTAAAGTGTGGGTTCGCCAGGGCTGGTCTGAAGACCCTGCCGCTCCTTCTCTCCTATAGGGGACCCGCTCTGGGAGCCTCTCCCAGCGGCAGGGGCTCCCTGTTTCGGGGAGGCCAGGAGCAGGCAGCCGTCACGGTCCTTGCCCACAACTGGCAGGGTTGGCTCTGGAGATCATCTTGGGGAACAGGAAGTAGGGGTGGGACCTTGGGCGAAGGCGTGTAGAGGGGAGGGGGTGATTTAGGATGGTTCCTTTCCTTGGGGGGTGGCTCAGGTGCTCAGCCTCCAGTCACTGCCGGTACCCTGGGCCTCGCCTCCTCGCCTCCGGCTGCTTGGGGCTCCCCTGCCAGCTCGGCATGTCTCTCGGCTGCTGTTTGGGAGATTCCTTCCTGGCATCTCCTTTTGGAAGCACATCTGGAGGCACTTAGTTCGGATGAGGAGGATGGATTCCTGTTCCTCGAAAACAGCGTTCCCAGCCCTTTCCCTGCCTCAGCACCTGAGGCCCAGGGCACCCTCCAGCCTCGGGGCCCTGTGCCCGTGACTCTAGCTGGCCCCCCGAGGAGGGGCAGCAGCATGGCCAGTGTCCAGGGCCAGCAGGATGTGGTCATGACACCGGCTGTCATTGATCTAGACTTGCTCTGAGCCAGGTACCAAGTGCTCAGTCACTCAGAACAACACTTACCTCTGTTGAAGTGAGGAGACCGAGGCTGCCAGCTGGCCAGCGGCAGAGCTGGAGTTCACTCCCAGGTGGCCTGACCACAAGCCCGTGCCCTTAACCTCCGTCTTTAGCCTCAGCCTCTTGCTCTGCAGTGCACGTGCGGAGCCCCCACCCATGATGGCCTGCACTTAGAACAGTTTCTCACTGTAGTCGGGCGTCGCAGCATCAGGTGGCAGTGGTGTTTTGAACCGGCCGTTGCCCTGACACCTGTCCCTGTCCTCTCTGTGCCTCTAGGCCTTCGACGTGGTGGAGAGGAGCTTCCTGGAGTCCATCGACGATGCTCTGGCTGAGAAGGCGAGCCTGCAGTCCCAGCTGCCAGAGGTACTTCCCTAGCCTCCCCCGAGGAGGGGCACGTCAGGCTGGCTTTGTAGGAGCACTGATTGATCTGCCACATCACACCCAAGCCATTGGCACCACTGGGCCAGAGCAGCACAAGTTAGGGGACAGTTCCTGACTGGGGAACGTGGGGGTCGATGGGTGGACACTCCAAGGGCCTCATTGGTTGCTGTGGGCAGCTTTACTCAGGCTGAGCATGGGGCGGGCAGTGAGGGTGTGAGGAAAGGCCCTTTCAGGTCAGTCCTCAACTTGAGTCTGCCCACAGCCTTGTCACCTACCCACTCATATCAGCACCAGCACTTTCAGAGCCGGCAGGACAATGAGGTCACCTCTGGCTTTCCTAGAGAGGCCTGCCTGGAAGTGCAGCTTCATCCTGGCCGGGCCTCCAGCCCCTGCTCTTTAGGGGGCGGGGGGGGGGGGGGGACAGTCTCTGAGGACCCGGCCTGCTCTGACCCCTAATGGTGGCTTGCAGGGTGTCCCCCAGCACCAGCTGCCTCCTCAGTATCAGAAGATCCTTGAAAGACTCAAGGTGCTGGAGAGGGAGATTTCAGGAGGAGCCATGGCTGTCGTGGCTGTCCTTCTCAACAACAAGCTCTACGTCGCCAATGTCGGTGAGCCGCCTGTCCGTCCCTGGGGAGGGCTGGGGGAGAAGGCCAGCTTGGGGGACTGTGCGTTCTTCGGGCAGCTGCTTTCCAGATACATGGGATCTCCAGCCCGTCTGCCAAGGCCATTGGGTGGGTTTCCCTGTTACTCTTTGAGTGTTTCATCCTGCCCGGCCAGTGTGGTTCAGTGGTTGAGTGTCCGCCCATGAACCAAGAGGTCACTGGTTCGATTTCCAGTCATGGCACATGCCGGGTTGTGGGTTTGATCCCCAGTAAGGGGTGTGCAGGAGGCAGCCGATCGATGTTTCTCTCTCATTCATGTTTCTCTCTTACCGATGTTTCTAACTCTCTCTCCCTCTCCCTTCCTCTTTCTAAAAGCAATAAAAACATAATAAGAAATTGGTTTGGGTTCTCTTTCAAAAGAAGAGGAGTGTCTCAGTCCCGGTGAGGAGAGTGGAAGTAGCAGCGGGATGCGGGCGGCCAAGCTCTCATCCCCATGCTGTCCCTCACTTGTGGCCTTGGGGAGTTGTGTCCCTGTCCGGGTCACCTCAGCGGCTTCCTCTTCTGGAGGGTGGCGAGGTGGGCTGGGTGTGGGCTGGAGGGTGAGGGGTCACAGGGACGTTTTGTAGGATTTGTGGGCAAAGAAGAGGCCATCTGGGACCCTGAGAAGGCCATAGCCCAGGGTGCCGATTACTGTAGGGGTGCTAGAGAGACCCCACTGATAATGTCCCTCCTCTCTTCCTCCTTTCCTTAAGATTTCATTATAGAACAAATTTAGAAATGTAGAAAAAATAGAGGGGCTCGCATTTAATGAGCCCTCTGTGCCTATCGCCAGCCCCGGGAGTCATCTCCTCACGGCCAGTCTCATTTCATCTGCAGCCCTGGGTCCCTGCATTGTTGTGAAGCAGACACCAGACATCGTGGCCTGGTATCTGTAAATATGTCAGTGTATCTCCCTAGACAAAAGCTCTCTTATTAAAATCATAATCATAATCATGCTAGGATGGAAAAGTTTAACCTAATTCCTTAATATTGCCAGCTCTTACGACTGCTGGCTCACCCAGGGGTCTGAGCCTATTTTCTTTGCTTGTTTCAGGATTTCCATTCTCTCTCTCTCTCTCTCTCTCTCTCTCTCTCTCTCTCTCTCTCTCTAACGTGGCCCTTTCCTCCCTCTGCTCAGTCTGCTTAGCTGCTCACATTCTGCTGCAGGTACGAACCGTGCACTTCTATGCAAATCCACGGTGGACGGGCTGCAGGTGACACAGCTGAACGTGGACCACACCACGGAGAACGAGGACGAGCTCTTCCGCCTCTCACAGCTGGGTGAGTGGGGACAGGGGCCGCGGGTCAGTGTTAGGGGCAGCCTCGTGGCTCACCCTTGCCCTCTTTGGTGGTCATGTGGAGAGAGTGTGAGTAGATGGACTGTGACCAGCCTGCCCGGGGTTGAAGCCCAGCTCTGTTGCTTACTAGTTGGTGATGTTTGAAACTTACTCGTTTCCTGTGCCTCAGTTTTCCCATCTGGGTAATGAGATGATAGTAACACCTGCCTCGGGGTGTGTTGAGGATTAAGAGTTAACGCATGTAAAATGCTTCCAAGCCTACCTGGCACGTTCACTGTTATTGGTGGAGACTGAGGCCAAAGAAGTCCTGAGATTTCAGCCACTGCCGCCGCCTCCCGGACGCTTCCCAGGCAGCTGTACTGGGCGGTGCTGGATGTGATGGGCTGTGGGGGAAGCCTTCCTGCGAGGGGGATTCTGATGGAGACGGGGGCTGAGGACCTGGGGGCTGTTGGATTAGCCGCTCTCCAGGCCGCCTGGTGTGACTATTTCCTGTTCCCCAGATGTGTGTCCCCTTCTTGTTGTTCCTCATGATGAGCAAGGTCTGGCTTGTGTTGTTCTCCCGCTGGTAGGTTTGGACGCAGGAAAGATCAAGCAGGTGGGGATCATCTGTGGGCAGGAGAGCACCAGGCGCATCGGAGACTACAAGGTCAAATACGGCTACACTGACATCGACCTGCTCAGGTAGGTGGCCAGCCCGCTGTGCTCCCCCCGCCCCGATAGGCTCTGGGAACAGAGGTGCAGTTACGGGAGCTCAGAGCCCAAGGAGACCCTTCCTTCCTCCCAGAGGTTGGTGTGAGGTCAGGGTCAGAGTCCTGTAGAGCTAGGCTGGCAAAGGGTCAAAGCCAGGGGCAGCAACCAGTGCCTCAGGGCTAGCAGGAAGGCCAAGGTTAGCCTGAGCAGCCTGGGGTGGGTAGGGACAGACCAAATGCCTTTGTTGGTCAGTGCTATTTATGGCGAGGGCCAGGGCAGACGTGTGAGACGAGCTGTACATTTCCCTCCAAGGATATTTCCCTTCCGGCTGCCACCCAGTGATCATAGCAGCACTGGGCACAGCTCTGTACATACATTCTCTTACTCAGTCCTCCCTCAGGCCTAGGAGGTCGGTACTGTTTTTTGGGTTTTTTTTAAAAATATATTTTATTGATTTTTCACAGAGAGGAAGGAGAGGGATAGAGAGTTAAAAACATCAATGAGAGAGGAACATTGATCAGCTGCCTCCTGCACCCCTCCTACTGGGGATGTGCCCGCAACCAAGGTACATGCCCTTGGCCGGAATCGAACCTGGGACCTTTCAGTCCGCAGGCCGACGCTCTATCCACTGAGCCAAACCAGTTAGGGCGGTAGGTACTGTTGTTACCCAAAGGTATTTTCATACGAGGAAGCTGACATGGTGACAGTAGGCAGCTTCTGTGATCACGGGGCTAGCCATGGGCAGAGGCAGGACTTGAACCCAGGCAGCCTGCATTCCCAGCACATTGATTGGAAAAATAGGTGTGTGTACAATCATGGCATTTAATGTGACAATCAGAGCCATGGAGGAATCATGCCAAAGACCCCTCATCAGAGGGCAGACCTGTCATGTCTTAGAAGCAGAGTTAGAACTCCATCCTCCCACAGGATTTAGGCAGTTGTGTTTGGAACCTTTTGTCTCTAATTTGTAGGGTTCTGTTCCTTTGTTGGAAAGTACAGATGTGGTTTCAAACAGGCCAAGGATCTACTGTGCAAAGTACGTTTTCTCCTGCCCCGAGACGGGGCTCTTCCCCAGAAGCTGCTGGTTTCCTGTGTGCCCTGCCCAGAGTTCCTGTGTGTGCGTGCGCGCGCGTGTGTGTGTGTGGGTGTGTGTGGGTGGGAGTGGGGCAGGGGTAGGTGTCCTTTTAAAAACATGCACTAAGTGCTAGCACACCCTTTCCAGTATTCTGTAGCTCACTGTCCATTAGGTGTCCTTTCCTCCATTCTACACACTTAGCGTTGAGGCTGGTGTGTTCTTGGTCACAGCTGCTGGAATTCAGTGTGTGCTGTGTCAGCACTCGCTACTGGCCCCTATGGAAGGGCCCTCGGGGTGTTTCCAGACCCCGCTCTTCCGGATTCTGTTACCAGAACATCACATAGCTGCTTGTGTGTGTGTACACGGGCAAGACCTCTCGGGCACTGCTGGCTGATAGTGCATCAGAGATGACCCTGTGCAGGGCGTGCCGGTGAGGTCTGAGTCAGCCTGACACTTGCTTTGGAGGAGCCCAGAGGAGAAGTGGGCTTTCAAAAGAGAACCCCACCCTCTCATTGCCCACCCTGCCCCTGGCACTGCCCAGGCTCTGTGGGCAGGAGCTGCAGATTGGGGCCGGGATTGGGCATTTAACCTTTGTGCCCTAGGCCCAGCCGTCTCTAGCCTTCTGGCCCTCAGAACTTGATTTTCGTAGCTGTGCTCAGAGACAGGTCTGTTTTTCTGGTTTTTCTTTGTTCTCATCTTGCCAGATGTGTGTTTTATTTTACATTCTGGGGTAGATTCTTCCCCTTAGCAAAATAAATGTCCCTAGGAGGCCATTCCAAGCACAGCTCTCCCCTCTACTCTCTCCCCGCAGCGCTGCTAAGTCCAAGCCGATCATCGCGGAGCCTGAAATCCACGGCGCACAGCCCCTGGATGGGGTGACTGGCTTCCTGGTGCTGATGTCCGAGGGGCTGTACAAGGCCCTGGAGGCAGCCCATGGGCCTGGGCAGGCCAACCAGGTGAGCTGGGCCTAAGCAGAGCATAGCGGGCCAGCCTGCACGTGGCATGCTCCCCTGGGGGCCTGGCCGGCCCTCCTGCTCGGCACCAGAGTGCTCAGGGCCCCGGCTCCTTTTCTCAAGTGCCATTGCCAGGTATCTTCTCTGGGCTCAGAGCTGGGGAAGAAAACGCCCAGAGCTCCGAGAACACCCATCCCCCAAAACCTTCCTCGTGCTGGGCTTGAAGCAGCCCCAGAGCCTTGAGCAAAGCCTGAAGGGAAGTGGGCGAGGTGGACGTGAATCGTGTGGGCTCGGGCTGCTTTGGAGATTGTCCGGGAAAGGTCCTGGGCCGAGGAGGGGAGCGCAGAAGTGTGGCCTCGCGCACAGAGCACTGGCCAAGGAGTCGTGCCAGCCATGTCCAAGTCCGCGCCACCCTTCCCCTTCCTCTCTGAGCTGTGGGTAATTTACAGTTTGTTCTCATGTCTAAGATGGGGATGATAACACCCACCGTTGTGGGGTTGTGGTCACGCAGTCGCTTCAGGGATGACTTTGAAGGGAAGCTACCTGACCTTGGATGGCTGGTTGGTCAGATAAGTTCAGGTCGTGTTTCTCCTTCCATCTGTGAGTCTTGTAGGAAGGTAACTTTTCTGCCTTTTTCCTTTCTTTTCTTTATTATTATTTTTTTTAGAAAAACAAGAATTGACTGCCTGCAGCAAAAATATATACTTAGGCTGGGCTGCTCTAGCTCACTGGGAAGTCAGAGAGAAGTGGGCCTTGGAGACAGGTTCAGGGGGTTAGCCCGGCATGAGCTGCCGCTGCTCCCCTGGTTTCAAGTCTCCTGGGGTCCCTTAGAGGTTAGGGGATACGGCCTGTGGGGGATGGAGAGCGGGAAGGGAATGGCATGGGCGTGCTCCCTGGAGGGAGACCGCCTGCTTTGTCCTCGCTAATTAAAGGTTACGAGGGAAAGTCTTACATGCCGCCCTCTCTCCTGATGCCTGTGTTCAAGGTTTTCATCTTTTTATCTTATTCCTCTAGTAGCACTGTAACGGGCAGCAGCTCACATCACTTCCACTCAGGGAGCCTGGGGTGCAGAGTTCAGGGTCTCGCCTGAGGTGACCTAGGTGGACAGTGGGGCGGGGGGGGAGGGGTTTGAGCCCACCTGACTGGCCCCAGGTCATTTCCTGTTGCCTGCCTCTGCCCCCTACCTCCAAGAGACTGGCCAGCCAGCATGTAGAGGATTTTGTGTTTCTGATCGTATCATCAATGTGATTTTTTTTCCTTTTCTTTGGTCTTCAAGATAGAATTATCCAGTGGCTTCTTACTGGGTTCTAGGATACACTGGTCAGTGGACTTCTCTGCCTTCATTCCGTGTCCCCATTTGCTGACAAAATTGGCATATCCTAGCCCATAATGAGTTTGTTCCAGGAAAAAAGGCTTAATCAACACAATTGCTCCTCTGTTTGCAAGTCTCCTGGGTCCCTTAGAGGTTAGGGGACACGTGCCTGGCGTGGTGGGCATGTACTTACACAGGGCTTTCTAGCAGTTCCCGCAATGCCCTCACATCCATTATGTTACTTCATCCTCGTCGTAACCCAGGGAGGTGGATATTCTCCCTGTTTTATTGGTGTGGAGGCCAACAATAAGAGAGATCACAAGGCCACACCTTGTCTAATGAGAAAGTTCCAGAAGGATTATCCTGAATCCCTTGAAAAGCTTGGTTTGCAGGTGTGGCTGGTGGGGACTTCCTTCGCCTGCTTGACCAGTGACCCCTAAGTGTCTTGGTGAGGCTCTGGAGTCACGGCCCACAGTCCCTGGGCCCCCTGTTCCTCACCAGGTCTCTGCCCCTCCCTCCCAGGAAATTGCTGCTATGATTGACACTGAGTTCGCCAAGCAGACTTCCCTGGACGCGGTGGCCCAGGCCGTGGTGGACCGGGTGAAGCGGATCCACGGTGACACCTTTGCTAGTGGCGGCGAGCGTGCCAAGTTCTGCCCAAGGCACGAGGACATGACCCTGCTGGTGAGGAACTTTGGCTACCCGCTGGGCGAGATGAGCCAGCCCACAGCATCCCCTGCCCCAGGTGAGTGCAGGGCGGACAGGAAGCCACCTGAGGAGGCCGTGGGCCGCGTGGGCTGCGGAGTGGCGGAGGCGCCAGGCCTTGCTCCGGGAGCGCAGCAGGTAGAGGGGGAGGCCTGGCTGTGAGCAGCTTTGATCTGGGCCTCTGAGCCGCCTTTGATTGGTTTTCCTTCTTGTCTATGAAATGAAGAAATACCCTCTGCCCTGGTTGACCTAATGACCCGAGAGAGAGAGCTTCAGAGACACCAGGCCACATGATAGGGACGATGGCTCCCCAGCTGAGGGCCTACTCTGCGCCTGGCACTTGACCCGAATGTTTCCTCTAGTCCTCACTGACAGCCCTCAAGGAGATAGCACCCCCCTTTTACAGAAAGGGAAACTGAGGCTCTGGGAGGAAGAGACAGGCGAGGCGAGGCATGTGGACAGAAGGTCCCCGAAGCCTGGCTCTGTCCCTGAGCCATGTTGGGGTGAGAGTAATGCGCTTAACTTTCTACTTCTTGAGTCTTGGAGTCAAATTGCTCAGGAGGCCAGGCAGTCGTCCTTTCTGCACCTCCTCCCGTGCTGCTCAGACTGTTGGCTCCTGGGCTGCACTTTCTCTTCTTTTTTCAAACAAGCCTTAGCGCTCAGGCATGCCCAGATGGCTTTGTTCTCCGGCGGACACCAGGGTTATGGAGTTTCTCTAGCTTGCTGTTATTGCAACCATATTTTTGTTGGGCCAGCCTCAACTAGGAGCACGCTTATCCCCTCGGATTAGAGCATCGTCGCGGGAAGCCAGGCAGTAACCCTTTCATCAAGCAGCTCAGCGCTTGATCCTCCTCCTGCTTTGAGCACAGGAGCTGCTGAGCGCCAGCCCCTGCCCAGCCGGCAGTCTTTGCCCCTGGACTCCCCTTCTCTGTCCCAAGAGGCAGAGGGCCACGCTGCAGCTCGGGGAGCCAGGCTGGGTCACCACCTTCTCCTCTCAGCCCTTAGACACCGCTCCCGTCAGGTCCTGGAGTGCCCCTGTTCCCACCACGCCAGCCACTCCCCGGGGCCCACCTCTCTCTTCCTTCCAAAGTCACAGGAGGACGTGTATACCCCGTATCCGTGCCTTACTCCAGCGCCCAGAGCACCAGCAAGACCAGCGTGACCCTCTCCCTCGTCATGCCCTCGCAGGGCCAGCTGGTCAATGGGGCCCACAGCGCTTCCACCCTGGACGAAGCCACTCCCACCCTCACCAAGTAAGCCCTCACCCATCTCCACTCTCAGGCCTGCTTCCTGGGGACAGCCCTTGGTCTCTGAACAGGAATGCCAGGGGCCAAGTCCTGTAGCTAAGTGATCCTGGGTGAGACGCCCTGGGGTCTTAACTTCTCAAATGCCCGCCTCCCTTCCTGGGAGTTCTTTTTAGCCGCTGAGGCTGGGAGAGGCAGCGCTGCAGGTTCCAGCAGCTCATTGCAGTGGGACTGGGAGGGGGCGGGTTTCCAGGGCAGAGGGGCTGAGGCTGCGGGGCAGGGACAGGCACCTGATGTTGACAGCCTGCTGGTCACATTTTCTTGTGGGCCCGTGTACGAGTTCTCACTGAATGGGAAGGTTCTCCTCCCAGTGGCATCCGTGCTTGGGGGGCGGGACATGCGTGGCCTGCACCGGCTTGTCAGAGCCAGGGCTCTCTCACTGAAAGGTCTGAGTAGCTTTGAAGTGAGTTCTCTAGTCTGAGGGGGGGAGGGGCAGAGGCAGCAGGAGGTCTGGAGCCTGAGGAGGGCGGGAGGCCACTTCCTTACTGCGGACCTGCCTATAGGTCTGGTGTCCACCCCACCCCCTCATTTCTGTGGAATGTATACCCCCACCCCTCCCACCCACCAGGAGACGAGGGTCTGGTTTCCACATTCCGGCCTCGGCCTGCACTGCACAGAATAATAGAGATGCCACACCCAGCCCACTCAGAGGAAATGCCCAATTGGAAGGGCCTTCAGGAAGGGAGTGACACTGCTTCCCTGTGCCTGGAGAGGGCCTTCCCCTCTCCCTGCCCCCCCACCCCACCTCCTGCTGCTGCCACCAGAGGCTACAGGGGCCTGGCAGGCAGCGGAGTGATGGGCATCCCGAGTGCAGTTGGGGTGGCCTCCCTACCCCAGGCCGCTGAGAGGAAGCCTCTAGCTGTGCCCACCAAGGCAGAGCATGACAGCAGTGGTCCCAGGCCAGGCAGGAGAACCAGCTGTCCTTCTGCACCCTAACTCCCTGGGGGCCCCTAAATAGCCCCTTCCCTCCCTTTGGCATCTGAGCATTAGTTGGGCCCCACTCTGGACCGGCTGGGTGCTGGGCAGTGCGAAGGGTTTGCAGGACGGTGGGCCAGCAGGTAACTTCCAGCTGTCACATGCTCTGTGACAGAGGGTGGGTGCCAGGAAGTTCTGAGAACATGGGGGACCCAGCTCCCAGCTGGTGAGAGGGGATGAGAGGGAGGGCTAAGGAGGGTTTTCTGGGAGAAAAGTCCTTGCTGGCCTGCGATCTGTGGGGTTGATCAGGGGGGGCCGGAGAGTGGAGCGCACGACCTCCAGCTCATTGCTGGGTACAGTGGTCACTAGCCATGCGTGGTCACTGAGCACTGGATCCATTTAGTTCTGGTTCATTAAAAAGCCATGTGTAGTTAGAGCTTAAAAGCCCATTTGACCTTTCATCTCCTAAAGACCACGTGGCCGGGCTGGCTCTTGGGTCACCTTTGTTCGAGGCCTGTGGCCTGAGGCAGGGCTTCTCTGTCCCCGGCCTGGAAGCCAAGGCTCCTGACTGACTCTGTTGTCCCTGTAGCCAGAGCCCGACGCTGACCCTGCAGTCCACCAACACACACACCCAGAGCAGCAGCTCCAGCTCGGACGGGGGGCTCTTCCGCTCCCGGCCCGCCCACTCGCTCCCGCCTGGCGAGGATGGCCGTGTGGAGCCCTACGTGGACTTCGCTGAGTTTTACCGCCTCTGGAGCGTGGACCATGGCGAACAGAGTGTGATGACGGCACCGTAGCCCCGGCTGCGGAGTGCAGCCGAGCGGGACCTTCGTGAGGACCGGGGCGATCGTGGGGGCAGGATGGGCTTTTCCCCACCAGCTGCCTGTGCCGTGGGGGCCAGTGGGCGCCCAGTCCTCAGCCTGACCGTCCTCCCCCAGCTGGGTGCTATGGAGAAGACCCTCTCAGAGCGCCAGTGCAGGCGGACCCCTTGGATACGCCATGTCACTGCAGGGGGACTGGAGGCCACCCGCCCAGGCAGCCTCAGCCAGGACCGTCGCCATTTCTCAGAACAAGAGGTGCTAGTGCGGGAGCCTGGCTGGCTGTGCGCACCCCGTGAGACAGGACGGGCAGAGGTTCCTGTGACCCCGCACGTGACAGGCCCAGCAGCCACTGCTTTCTCTAGGCCACCGTTCCCGCCGCCACCTCCCCTGGGAGAGCCTGTGGCCGGTGATGCGTCCCCTCACCAGGGCCTGGTGGTTCGCCCCTTTCTTCTCCGGCCTCCAGAGTGAATCCCGGTTGACGTCTGCTTCTTCGGAGCCTGCACCGTCCCTGGGCCCCTTCCCTGGGCCGGCCTGGCTGTTTTCAGTGGTGAACGTTCAGGAAGACCAGGGAGGTGGGGGCCTGGGATGGCTGTAGCGGGAAAGGAACCAGAGGTAACTGTCCAGGAGGAGCACTGGCCCTGGAGTCCTCCAAAGGGTAGACGGGGCTGGTGGGCGTCCCCAGAGATGGGGTGCAGGGGAGCAGAAGTGCTCGGACGGAGTGAGGACGTGGCCTCTTGTCAGGCCCCTCCAGGAGGGGAGGCCCCGAAGCAGGGTGAGCGACTCCGCTTTGCTCTTTCCTTCCTGGAGCTGGGAAGGCCCTGGCTGAGGAGCCATGAAGACCAGCGATCTTGACCACTGACGACGGTCCCTGCTGCTCCGCAGGAATGAACAGAGGCGTGTGGAAGAGGGAGCGTGGGAAGTGGTTCTGGAAGGGCAGAGGTTCTGCGAGCCCTGCTGCTCTGTGTGGAGGGCCCAGGTGTGCGCTGCTTTTTCAGGGGCGGGCGGGCGGGCTCAGGCCATCAGGCCCGAGATGGACCACCTCAGGGCTCGCTGCCTCTGGGGAGGGACTGCACTCCTGTTTTCACAGGAGAAGCCAGCCCAGGAGACCCACACATGCCCTCACATGGTCGGTGGAGCAGAAATCAGACCTGCCAGTCCCCGAGGCCCCTGGATTCGGCCCCTCCCCAGCTCAGCAGGGCCTGGCACTGTGTGTGGCCTCCATGTACTTGGACTCAGAAAAGTCAGAGGCCGGCTCAGCCCTGCTCGGTCTGTGGTCCCGGAAGGTGGTTCCCGAGGGAAGCAGAGGAAGTGCCTCTCGGCAGAGCGCCCACCCTCCACCACGAAGCCACCTGTTAGGTGAACAGGTTTAAAGTTAGTCACAAAGGCTGGGAACAAAGGGAATTCTCTTCCAAGAACATCCCGGTGTTGCTGCTTGGTCTCTGGAAAGAGAACCCCTTTGTGCCACGGTGAGGAAGTAATAAATGGTGGGTTATGCGACATGGTGTTGAGGTACTCTCACTCTTGTCTCCTGGAACTCAGGTGGCCAGGGAGGTGGGTGCCTCCTGTCCTCTGGCTCCCGGGCTGGGGTGGCAGAGCTGGGCTGTGAACCTGGCCTCTGCCTGGCCCAGGGCTGCCGCCTGCATGGCAGGGAGAGGGTGGCGGCTCTCCCTCCGGCAGTGGCTGCTGTGGGGCACTGTTCCTGCCGGTGGTGGGGTGGCTGGTGTGGCTGTCAGAGCTTCGGGCACCAGGACAGGCGTGTGAGTGGATGCTCAGGACTTCTTTGCTTTATTTTGGTTTTGTTTGGGTGGAGGATGTTCTATAAATACCAGTCCATAAAGTGCCTCTTCCTGTTTTGGGAGACTTAAGAACTCAGCTACGCACAACAGCGTCTGCAGCTAAAACTGAAACACTGCATGGCTGAGGGACAAAGCCAAGCTCGGTGTTTGGGTGATGGGCGCCCAGACACTTCCCTTCCCCTCTGCTGGGAAACAGTTGTAGGCGGGGGTGCTGGCAGAACTGCCTTTCAGGACCTGCCCCCTCGGCCTTAGCCGTCCCCAGCGGGTCCTGACCACCTGGAGTCACAGGTCAGCCTAGCACCCTGAGCGGGAGGTGGTGGGCAGGCCATGTCCCAGGTGAGTGACTGGGGCGCAGACATATGGGCATAGTCCCAGCACAAATGGCTCTGTCTAGTCCTATAGGCCAAAGGGCCTCTCCCACCTGCTTTGCCCCCAGGCGTGTGGGGGGTGGAGCACTGCCCTGCTGGCTCTGTGTCCCCTGTCCCCTAAGCCTGCCTCCTGAGTGAGGGCGAGAGGGGCACGTTTCAGCCTCTGGGTTCCCTTTGGTGGAGCAAGAGAGGGAGCTTAGTCTGTTTTAAGATTTAAGCAGTGGCAAAGGTCAGGACAAGAAGAACCAAGGCAGCCAGACGGAACGACCCTCCCGTGGGCGAGTCCCACCCCATCTGACACTGACACGGAGCCAGGAGCCAGCAGGCCTCTCCAGCCTGTGACCCCACCCACGGCCAGGTCAGGTGCACCAGGGAGGCCCCCACCACTGCTGCCTGTGCCCACTTGTCCCTTGAGGACATCTGGTTCCCTCCCAGGACAGGACTGTCACAGGCTTGATGGAGGCCCCGGCCTGGATCCGACCAGTGGGGCCAGGCCTTTGGGAGCCACTGCTTGTCCGGGACCCGCGCCCGCACCAGGAGCTCCGCGGATGCCGGGGGCCATCTTCAGGGTTTGTGCTGGTGTTTCGGCCCTTGTCTGGTCCTCTGATTCTCACAACCCAGCCCTGGGCTTGGTGGCGTGTCCCCACCGCTGATGCAGTGGCCGCGAGACCTGTCAGGAGCCACGTGGCCGCTGTGACAGTGACATCCAGGGAAAGGCGACTGGTCGTGCCCTTTCTGCGGCTGGTTCCTTCCTGTCACTCAGGCCTCAGCACAGAGCCACCTCCTTAGAGGGGCCTGCCCTGTCCCACACTGGCCCCATCTCCCTGTTTGATCTGTTTCACAGAAACGCAGCCTCTGACATTTCTTGCTCATTTTTTTTGTTTGCCTCTTAACTCACTAAAATGTTCGCTCGCTCATGAGAGGGGTCTTCGCCTACTTAATCCAGCGGTTCTCATCCTGTGGGTCCCGACCCCTTTGGCGGTCAAACGACCCTTTCACAGGGGTCGCCTAAGACCATCCTGCATATCAGATATTTACATTACGATTCATAACAGTAGCAACATGACAGTTAGGAAGTAGCAACGAAAATAATTTTATGGTTGAGGGTCACCACAACATGAACTGTATTTAAAGGGCCAGAAGGGTGAGAACCACTGACTTAATAAATTGGGTCCTGGCTCCAAGGTCCGAGTGGTGTCAGCTATGTGGCAGCCCTTTAATAGGTGCTGCATGAATGAATGCGTGGATGGCTGTGTGACCTTGCTGAGCTACTTGACCATGCGGAGTCTAGGTTTCCTCATTTATGAGATGGGGATCTGACCCACTTCTTCCTAAGAAGGCCTGACATGTCTGAGCCGCCATGGAGGTAAGAGTGGCCCTGGCCCGCATGTGGAAGAGGAGGACTGGGGCGCTGCAGGAGCTGAGATTTGCGCCACCACCACCTCCACACCTGGGTGCACACTGAAGTCACGTGTGGTGAAGGTACCACCTGGGCCTTGAACGTAGCAGGTGCCCTTGCAGCTTCCCGTGGAGCCCAGACGTTGAAGAGTGGTTCTGGCTCTTGCCTCTTGGAAGCCCAGAGGGAGGCTCTCCGATGGGCCCCAGACATTTTCTCCAACAAGGACATCTTTCATGACTTCATTCCGGGTCCTCTGTTTTGAAACCAAACAAGGACACAGATCGCAGCCATTCCAGCGGCTCAGCATGAGCCCGCGCTTTGTTCCTGCTTTGTTCCCACGCAGAGGCAGGCGATGTCAGCCCAGAGCAGAGGCCGGCACTTGACATTTCCCCAGCCTGGGAGGCCTCCTCCAGGGCAGGCAGTGTCTGACGCTGGCCTTAGGAGGACTGACACCAGGTCACAAACGCCATTCCTGCCTCGAGACCCCGAGGGGTCAGGGCCCAGGCCATGTGGACCAGTTGCCAGTGCAGCCCTTGCCCTTGTTCTCCCCGGTTAGGGGTGGGTGGGGAGGCAGGGCGGGTTTCTGAGCCCACCCATTGCCTCAAGGCCAGCGCCCCTTGGCTGCTTCCACATCCTCCAGGACCAAGCTCCCACACTGGTCACTTGAGCAGAGCCATCCTATGGTCCAGACAGTGCTGAGCTCAGCAGCCTTGCCCAGTGCCAGCCTCCTGCCTCCCAGAGTCATTGGTGTCCATTGCTCCGCCCCCCTCCCCCACAGGTGGGGACTTGCAAGGCATTACACTCCTAAGGGAGCCCTCCCGGTGGCCGCCAGGCAGGGCCTTTGTCTGAAGGTCCCCTGGGCCCTGTTGCTGGCCCCTGCTTGAGAGGAGGAGATAAAGCACAGATGGGCTAAGGAGGTGAGGCAGAGTGATCAGGGGACAGGTTTCTGCTCAGAATCAGCCAGAGCGTCCCAGTGGCACAGGAGCTGTTGCGCCTTGCGGGGGCTGCCTGTGGGAGGTGGGAGCACCAGTCATCACGGGGTGTGAGCAGAGGCTGGTGCGCCGGCCTGGTGCTTGATGGGGTGGGCGGGGACTGAGCTGCGGCCCAGCCTAGCGTGCAAGGCCCCCCAGTCTGCTGGGACGGGCTCAACCTTATGCATCTGTGCCTTTGCTGATGCTCTCTTCCTGCTGCCTGGAGGCCTTTTGCACAGGGTGAGAACTGTCCATCCTCAGGACCCAGCTACTAGCCCCTGCAGGGACCTCTCCCCTGCTCAACCCTCTCCCAGGCTCCTTGGCTCCGGTGGGCACAGAGCCTGGCTGCCGTGAACCTGGGGCTCCTGGTGAGGACCCCCAGTGCCCAGCACACTGCCGGGTCTGTGGCCGTGAACTGAACTGGACCCAGATGTTCTGAGGGGAGGAAGAGGACCCCACTCAGACCCTGGGAGGGGGCAAGGACACAGTGACTTTCGTGGCTTCTTCCACAAAAATGTATTAAAAATGATGTTTTAGCCCAGCCGGCGTGGCTCAGGGGTTGAGCGTCAGTCAACCTGTGAACCAGGAAGTGATGGTTCGATTCCCAGTCAGAGCACATGCCTGGGTTGCGGGCTCGATCCCCAGTGTGGGGCGTGCAGGAGGCAGCCGATCCATGATTCTCTCTCAACATTGATGTTTCTATCTCTCCCTTCCTCTCTGAAGTCAATTTATAAAAAAACAAACATCTACATCAGTTTTTTAAAAAATGATAACTTACCACTGCATTGCTATAAAGAAATATATTTATCATTAAAACATTTTGAACTAAAAGTTAAATTTTTTATTTTTATTTAAAAGAAAGTAAACAGTTTCTGTGGACCCATAAAAGCACGGCGAGCCCGAGGCCCCGTGTCTGCTGTGCTGCTGCTCGGGAACCAGTGGGGCCTCAGTCTGTCCCCTTAGTGGGACGGCCTGCAATTGAGGTCCCAGTCCCAGCTTTCCTGCACTTCCGAGGGCCCCGGGGGCCCCAGACGCAGGAGGGAGATCGGAGAAGGGTTCAAGCGCAGGTAAAGAACCCCGGAGACATGTTCTTCGCCCAGGCTGCCCCTCCTTCCTGTGTGCCCTCCCTCCTCCACCTCGCAACAAGGCAGGCTGAGCGCCATGTGTGCAGCCCAAGCCAGGGACTGGTAGGAGGACAGAGAGGAGGGCGTCGAAATGAGTCACTAACACCCTGCCCTGGAGGGGCTCCCGTCTCCCAGGAGATAAACCAGCACCTGGAATTGCAGACAGAACGGCCCTGAGAGCAGGCCGAGGGAGGCTCTTCCCCAGAGTCGGGGGCTTGGCGCCCGGCCCTGGAATATTTCTGGGGGGTAGAGGCATCTGCGACTGCCAGGCTCGTCTTCACCTGAAAGCTTTGTTAAAGATGGCGGATTGGACCCGTGCACCAAATTTCCCTCCTCAAAAACCCCGTGCAGACGACAGAGGGGATTTCTTCCTTTTGTTATCTTTAAGGTAGAAGCCCACAGGGATGGGCAAGCAGGACAGGGACCAGATCTGCACCATTTCTTTTCCTTCCTTCATTTTTCTCGGTGATGGTGGGCGTGGTGATGTGGTGCCAATCGGCACCATTTAGAAGCTGGAAAGTAGATGGAGGATGGCAACTGACTGAGGGGTTCAGAAAAGCCACCTCCAAATGTGCAGGGCTCAGCGCCAGCGTGACTTACCCCACAGAGTTGCCAAGGGTTCGGCCCCAGCTGGAACCTAAGGCGGGGGTAGTGGATGGAGGCAAAATAACGATCAGTCAGACCCTCAGATTCTCCCAGAACTGCCGGGCAGCCACCCTCCGTACCCACCAGAAGACTGGTTATTCTCTGGTGACGGTGAGCCAGGCAGCCACCCTCCGTACCCACCAGAAGACTGGTTATTCTCTGGTGATGGTGAGCCAGGCAGCCACCTTCCGTAC